AAGGGTGCAGTGGACCCTTGTACTCAAGAGTATTCAAGACTATTGCTCAGCCAGATGATGCAGGGAGCAGCTGTGCTCTTCCTGACAGAACTTAGCATGGTCCTAAGGTAGGGGCTGGTATCTGGCATGCTGCAGGGCCACTCCTCCAGTTGATCTGTTTACTCAGACCACACTAAGACTTTCAGCTGGTAATGATGATTCTGAGATCTCCCAAACTTATTCGTGAAAGATTTCCTGTACAACATTCACTCCCCACTTATCACCCAGATTCCTAACCAACTCTGGCAGAAAGAATTACAGTTTCTCAGAGCCCCAAAGTGCCTTGGCTCAGGGCCTTTTTACTTAACTTCTCCTATCTGGAGTCTCACTTCCTCACTCTTTTTTCTTGTTCTGTAGCTCTTAGAGGACATCTCACCATCTTCCTGATATGATTGCTGCTCCTAGCCTCTACCATTCTTTGGGTAGGGGTCTGTCCTGCTGATCCTACCATCCCCACTACTAAAGCAGGGCCTTCCAAAAAGCAAGTACTGAAGAGATGTTTGGTGAATGAAAGAATCAGTGAGCAGGGACTTTCATCTATTAAGATTTCATCTACTTTCTTCAATAGGCCAAGCAAATCCAAGTACATCTTTTTCATTTTCCAGAATGGTGGACTGGAAGGTATAAACAAACCCAAGAATAAGCCATCCTTTACATTTTCCCCTCTGTTTATTGAACCCTATACTTTACTGCTTGGCTCTTTCACAATTCCAAAGAAATTTCTATTCCAATGTTATCTTGTACCAGGTCCCCCAAAAGATGGGAGGTTTCCCAAATTTTTGCAAAATATTGAAACTCTTATTTTTAAACCGGAAAAATAGCAATAAAAACATTACCAATGTCATTCTAAACTTAGAGCCTTTAGGGAATTAAACCTTCCATTAAAAGGGACATTTGAAAAATACCAAAAGAAAAAAAAAGATAAACTTCCAAGTCACTCATATGGAATGGGAACACAAAGTTGTACGCTGTGTTCTCCCCAGCCTGACCTTGACTCTCCTCTACTCAGAGCCAAGACTGCCCTCCTCAAACACAGAGTGATGATTCAGCCTCACTCTTCAGTTGGGACAGGAAAAGCTGCTGACCAATGTCATGCAAGGAACATGGCAGTAGTATTATCCATGGAACCATTTCTGGCCTGGGCCCTCCCTTCCTCATCTCTTAAAGCCTCCTCATACCAGCATGAGAAGGAAGTAGGGTCAGTCCCTTTAACCTTGGCCAAAAATTCCAGAACTTTCATCTTGCTGGTTTTAGCATGAGCCCTGGGGCCCCACAGGAATTCATAGTGTGGAGGATCACTGTTAGGCACCTGCCGGTACTCCTGATAATTCTCCTGCACCCAATCTCTGGTGATGAGCTTCCTGGGCTCCCCATAAATGAAATGCTCCCTCCCAGCATACACTCCCATCATATTCAGGAAATCCCAGATGTCTTCATCAGGGGCACAATTGCCCTCTATGAAGATCACACCCAGGATGATTATCAGGAGACCATTTTTAGGCATGCTCTGGTTGTCGCTAAGCATCTCATCATGGGTGAGGCCCAGGGAGTTGACAAGGACATAGGAGTGGGTGGTGGGGTCCACTTCCTTCACATCAATGCCAGAGATCACCTCCAAACACTTAGACACTTTCTTGAAGATCACAGGGAGTTGTTTCTTGTACCTTTTGATGACAACCTTCAGCATTTCTGCCTTTGTGATGGGCTCCTTCAATCAATACTTGAGGACCATGAAATGCACCAAATCAGCCACCTTCTCATCTAGTGGGTCTCTGGGCAAAGATTCGGTGTCTGTTGATGTCTGTGGGGAACTTGTATCCTCTTCTTCTTGGCTGTTGGAGACTCCTTCTGATGTGCTCCATGATGCAGAGAAGGAGCAGCTCTGAGGACTCTATGGAGGACTGAGTGTTGCAGCAGGTTCCTCTTCCTCCTTCTCCTCTAGGGAGACTGGGATCACAGGCGAGGAAGGTGGGGAGGCGGAGGTGGAGGGGTTAGAGAAGTTGAAAGAGCAACTGGAAATAGAGGAAGTCTCCTCATTGGCTTCAGCTGTGAACACGTGTACTACTGCCAGGCCCTGTATCTCACTTTGGGCCTGGAAGTCTGGTGTAGACACTTTGGAGAGTGAGGCATGATGACTCTTATTGGCAGCAGCAAGTAGAAGTGTGAGCAGGATGGTTGGAGATGGGGTACCACAGGTCTGGAGGAGAGAGGGAGAAGGTCAGCAGCCTCAGCGGAGAAATGCACTTTGGCAGCTCTGGACAAAGACTGACTTACAGGTTTCCTCTTTAGGGGGTGCTCTAGGACCCCAAAGGCCTTCTGGACTTTGAGTCACTTTGTCCCTTAAGATCATATCAGAGGATGTGAGAGAGAGTTTCCCAGGCTATAACCAACCAAGAAAGCCTAGGATTCTTGGGTTGACTGTAGGCAGATGGGATCAGGCACTGTAGGCTTCCCTCTGTTCTGGCATGGGTAGATACCTTAGTAGACACTGAATGTGGCACTGAATCCTGGCACTGAGTGGGCCCCTTCTGTTCTGCTGACCTGAGGACACATGCTTTAGAACAAGGCCCTCATCACCCAGTTCCTGGAGCCCTTGTAAGAGGAATTGAGGGGGCACCTCAGGATATAGATGACAAGCAGAGCCTCCTGTGTTCTAGTATGGGAGGTACCCTCAAGCCAAGATCCCCATTTCCCTGAGACCCCAAAGAGGATGTAATAAAGTGGGATTATCTGCTTGAAGGCCCTGCCTGGGGATTCCTAGGACTGAAAGTCAGAATGGGTTTCTGAGAATACACTTTAGGGTGGGAGATCCCCTCTGCCCTCCCTCAGAGTCCTCTTCTTGATGCCTGATTGGACCTGAAACTCCTCCCTCTGCTAACCTGAGGTCACACCCCTCTGAGAGAACCTCACCACTCTCAGCCTCCCAAGATGGAAGTCCAGATACACCACATCCAGCCTCCCTGCCTGGGGCCTCACAAGGCTGAAAGGGACAAAGCAGTCCTGGGTCTCCCTCTATATGGGGTAGAATGTCCCTTAAATCTTCCTTCTTAGTCATCAGCTTGATGCCTGGTAGGGCCTGGGACTCTTCTCTTGTGTACTGAGCTGGGCCCCTTCAGAATAAGATCCTCACTTCTCTGACAACCCCTTCAATCAGATGGAAGAGTGGAAAATTCACCCCCATAACACATGGCTAAGTCTGCCTTAACTTCCCAGGCTGAGAGCAAGTTAGATTTCATGGGACCCATTGTGTTCTAGGATGGCAGGTGCCCTTAGTCCCCTTCAAGGTGTACATATTTACCCCATCTGGGCCTGAGCTCTCTCTTTAATGGAAGTAGTCTCAGGCCAAGATTTCCATGTCCATGTGATGCATGAAGAGGTAAGGAGTGAATCTGCCTGATATTCCTGCCTAGACCATCTCCAGGCTAACAGCAGGGGCATGGCAGTGACTGGCAGCCTTCTGTGTTGAGCATTCCCCTGAGTCCTCTCTCAAGAGTCCTCTCTCAAGAGTCCTCACCTTGAATACTGGCACTGTCTGGGCCCCCTTTCCCTGCTTACCCAAGAGTGGCCTCCTCAGACCAAGGTATTCACTTCCTAGAGACAATCTGGCAGCAGTGAGGGTCCACCACATGCTTATACATTGTCTCAGGGTCTCTGAGAGCTGTCAACATGGGCATGGTGAGGCTGAGGCCCATCACTCCTGGGTGGTGGGTTCTATCAGTCCTTACTCAGAGTCTGTACCTTGACTCCTTGTTGAGCTTGCGCCTCCTCCCTCTACTGACCTGATTCTGCCCCCTCAGACCAAGGTCCTCGCCTCTCCTGGATGCCCTAGGGGAAATCAGATGCTGCTGCTTATGGCTACCATGTCCCAGGGCCTATTAGAGCTAACACTGGGAGGCAGGACTGGATTGTGTGAGGTCTTCCTTTGTTCTACAGTAGAGTACCCATCCTCCCTCAAGATACTAATATCCAGGGGCGCCTGGGTGGCTCAGTTGGTTGGGCGACTGCCTTCGGCTCGGGTCGTGATCCTGGAGTCCCGGGGTCGAGTCCCGCGTCGGGCTCCCTGCTCGGCGGGGAGTCTGCTTCTCCCTCTGACCCTCACCCCTCTCATTCTCTCTCTCTCTGTCATTCTCTCTCTCTCAGAAATAAATAAAAATTAAAAAAAAGAAAGATACTAATATCCAAACCTGGCAAGGCCTCAGCCACACCACTCTCTACTGACTTTAATGTTGCCCTTTCAGTCAAAGCCTTAACTCTCTAAGATACTACTCGCCACTGATAGAAGTGAGAGAACACCACATCTGGCCACCATAGGTCCTAACATGGCTGACAGCAGGTGCAGGGCAAGGTTTCTGTGGGGCCCCTCTGTTTGCAATGGGAAGTCCCATTACACATCCTCAAGGTCACCATATTTCCTCCTGGCAAGGTCTGCATTCCTCCCTTTGCCGAGGTAAGGATGTGTCCCTCAGGCCAAGCCACTCATCTCCTTTGTCAAGGTGAGAGTTATGAGGAAGGATTTAGGGGAACTTCTACCCCATATGGAGGGGAGCCACACCTTCTCTGTCCCTGCTTTCACAAGAAATTGGTGTCAGAATTATGAAAGAGGTGTCTTCTGCCTGAAATCCATGCACAAGTCTTCTCAGAGATGACCCTAGAGCAAGTTTCTGTGAGGTGAAAGATTTCCTCTGTCCTTCCTTTAGGTCTTCACATAGCCATCTATGTGCAACTGCAACTCCTTACTCTGCTTAATCTGATGAGGCACCATTCAAAGAATGCTTCACATCTCTCAGACTCCCAAAGTGGAAGACAAGAAATGTATTCAGGGACCCTCCCTAGGACTTCCAAGACTGACTGCAGGAGGAAGAAAGGACTGTGTTACCCTCTATGTGGCAAGAGGTCCCTTTACCCATTCCTCAGAATCCTTACCTTTGCTGACCTGACTCAGCAACCCCACTCCCAAAATGAAGCTGTGCTTCTCTCAGACTCCTAAGATGAAGGTCAGGAACCGAGATGGAAGCCAGGATACACTAGAGCTAGTTACCTCTACCCAAGCATCCTAGAGCTGACAGTAAAGACAGGTGTGGATTCTGTGGGCCCCTCTGTGTTCTAGGTTGGTAAATACTCTGAGTTACCCTCAAGGTTTTTATGTTTACTCCAGACAGGGCCTGAACCTTCTATCTCTGCTGGCATGAAGATGTCTCCCTCAGGCCAAAGTTGCCTCTTTCCTGAGACTCCCAAAGAGGAAGTGAAGGAGTCAGGAACTTCTGTCTATCAGCCCTGCCCAGGGCCTCCCAGGGCTGACAGCATGAGCAGGTGCTTGTGGGTCCTCCTCTATCTGAGGTGGGAAGTCCACTCAGTCCTTGCACAGAGTCTTCTTGGTGACTTCTAGCAGGGCCTAGGTTCCTCACTTTCCCAACCTCAAGCCAGTCCCCTCTGAACAAGTCCCTCATCCCTCTTTGATCCCCCAACTGGGAGAAGACCTATCATTCATCACCATGGCTGAAGGTGTGGAGAGCTGGATTGTGTGGGGCCTCCTCTATGTGGGGTGGGGTTTTCTGCAGTCACCCTTCAGAGCCCTAATCTTGATGACTGGCCCATCATGGGGATCCCCTATTCTTCCAAAGATTACAGTGTGATGCAGGTAAAAAGGGATTAATTTACTATGGGAAAACCTGACAAACGCTCCCTCATCAAGCTAACACCATTACTGATAAACCATGTTGATGGTGTGCACCATGGATATGATGTGACAAGAATGGCCCTTCACCTCATTCATCATCCTCCCAAAAACCATAATCCATGTCTAATGTTAAGGAAACTATCAGACAAATCCTAATTGAGGGACATTCTACAGAATACCTGACCCATATTCCTAAAAACTGTCAAGGTTATCAAAAACAAGGAACTCTCAGAAATTGGCACAGCCAAGAGGAGTCTAAAGAGATATGGTCAGTGAAAGTAAGAGGGTGTCCTGGAGGGGATGCTGAACAGAAAAAAAGAAAAGTGATGAAACATAAGGAAATCTGAATAAAGTATGGACTTTTGTAAATAATTACGTATCAATATTGTTTCATCAGTTGTAACAAATGTACTACACTAACGCAAGATGTCAATAATATGAAGAACTGAGATTGGGACATATGTGAAATTTCTTCACTATTGTTGCAATTTTCCTGTAAATCTAAAACTATTCTAAAATGAACCTTTAAAAACTTAAAAATATGTTAGCAAACTAGATAAAGTATATGTATGAAAAACCTATAGCCGGGCGCCTGGGTGGCTCAGTTGGTTAAGCGACTGCCTTCGGCTCAGGTCATGATCCTGGAGTCCCTGGATCGAGTCCCGCATCGGGCTCCCTGCTCGGCAGGGAGTCTGCTTCTCCCTCTCCCGCTCCCCCCTCTTGTGCTCTCTCTCTCTCATTCTCTCTCTCAAATAAATAAATTAAAAAAATCTTTAAAAAAAAAAAAAACCTATAGCCAACATCATACTTTTTGAGGGAGATTTGAAAGCTTTTACTTTGAACTTGGGAACTAAACTAGGGTTCCCACTATCACCATTTCTATTCAATACTGTAATGGAGGTAGCAGCAGTGCAATGATGTGAAGCAGAAGTAACAAAAGGGAAAGGGATCAGAAAGTAAGAAATAAAGCTTTCATGATAAACAGATGATTAGACTGTGTATGAGGAAAATCCAAAATGAAAAAAAAAGAAAGCTAAGCTATTCAACCCATAAACATGTATATAAGTTTGCTAAGTGTAAGATCAATATACCAAAAAATGAACTTTGTTTTCTGCCAGGAACAAATGTGTGAAAATGAAAGTAAACAAAATATAACTTGTAATCTACAATACCAAAACACCAAGTATCTTAGACTATATTTAACTTAAAAAATTAAGAGCTTTACAGAAAAAAGTATTTAAAAATATAAAAATGTTGTTTAGATATATTCATAAATCCCTCTATATATTAAATAAAACGCATTCACAGATGTAAGGGTTTAATACTGTAAACATTTTGCTTCTCACAAAAAAAAGAAAATGCAGATTAACTGCAACCCCATATTTAAAAACAGGAAAGGGCTTCATATGTGAATATGTGTGTACATGATACCATGGATGATTCTAAAATATAAAGGCGTACAAATAAATGGCCAAACAAGTCAAGATATTCTTGAGAGAACTAGAAGATAAGAGCAATTACTCTGCTAGCTGGTAAGAAGTACAAGCAAGCTCCAGTAACAAAGCTTATGGTTTGGGTGCAGACACCAACAAGGAGACCAATGAAACTGAATCGTAAGTCCTGGAAAACACACACACACACACACACACACACATACCCTTAATTTATGAAAAAGTTGCAACCACAGAGCAGCACAAAGACTATAGTCTTTTAATAGATTTTTAATTTTAATAAATTGCATTGAAATAACTGAGTGTCCATATAGAAAACCAAATGCAACTGGAATCCTCCTTCACACTAGACACAAAAAGCAGTGACACAAAGATTAAAGACCTGCCTTAAAGCTTATTATGAACACTTTCAAACATATGTAAGAGTATACAGGAGAACAAATTGAACCTTTGTATAGTTTATTGTTTAGAGACAGCAGTGTGGGTCCATTAGGGCAAAGGTAAGGCTTAAGGGTAAGGACTGAAGGAGACTGGGGATGAGGTAAAGTCAGTAACAGAAGGAAAGGGAGAAGGAAAGGAAACGGCAGCTCCTTCTGCCCTCTTATGTCAGCCATAGATGACCTTACTACTTTCATGGGCCCTCACTTTCAAAGAGCAAGATCTGGAAATTAGTGGTGGCTTAGGAGAACATTCCTGGGGCCAATGATTACTTCATTCCACCTCCTACTGCTATCAGACTCCCCACTAACTTCTGGAGTACTCATATCCAAGAAATATAATCTGGACAGAACTATTACAGAAAATTATGACCAGTTGATGTTGGGTTGACTACAGACACCATGAATCGACCCAGGAAGACTTCACTGACTTAGCACCAGTGCCATGTTGTCCACATGTGATGGGAGCAAAGGCCTTCCTCTCTCCCCACATGGATGTAAGCTTCTGTGGGAGGGAGGACCTTGGGTATCTTGGCCTCTCCCCCTACTTGCTCAAGTGATGGTGTCTGTCAGATCCTGTTATTTATCAAAAAGACCCTCCTGTGGACCCCCTTGTACTAGGGCTTAGGGCATTTTGTGGAGCAAGGGAAAGGGCTTTCACCTTGCTGAGGTCAAGGGTGCTCTGAGTGGTGAGAGGACAGAAAGCTGAGCTAATTCCACAGTAGGTGAGGAACTTCCAGTGATTAGAGTGGGAAGGTCTCTTCCAGCACATGAACAACCACATATCTGTCCTAGAATTGCCTTAATAAAGTCTCTCCAGCATCAAAATGGAATTTAAGACTCATACGTGGAAAGGTGTCAATCTGACAGTTGGTTCTTGAAGGAGAATAGATGTCACTCATAAAAGGGGGCCACATGGTCAAGCTGAGGTGCCCCACAGGAGGAAGTGTGCCATCTTGGTCATGTCACCAACACATGGGTAGTTGCTTATACAAGAACTGTCCCCAATTCTGCTCTGTGTACATCCTTCCAGACGTTCTTAGGCTCAACAGGACCCTCAGCA